TTCCAGTTCTCCAAAATAAGCAACAAAAGTCTATTCGAGAAGCGCATTGCAAGTCCTTTTCCTTTTTATTAAAATGCTGAGATGTAAGTGGTATCATGAAGTGTTGAGGTGCAGTCTGAGCAGGTGGGTCCTCAGCCTGTGGTGGTTTATTTACACAGGAAACAAGAATAAATATTGTCAATGCAGCCACTTTCACTTATTTTAAGAACAGAAGACGTTAAGGACTGGTTTTTGCAGCAATCTTCTGACTCCAGATAGGCTGGAAACCACAAGTGTTGGTGATGAATTACCTGCAACTTGCAGCATATTTTGATCTATCAGGTAGAAACACTGGAACTTTAGTTAAAGCAACCGCACTGAAAAGCAGAGACATTATGTTTCATTAATGCACATGGAAAATATGTTAATAGATTAGGCTGTTTTTGTTTCTATTCAAAGCAAGTAGCTGCACAAATGAGTGCATGAATTGCATAAGCCAAGTATATTTATAGACACAACAGCTAATGAGAACAAAGTTGAGTTTCCTGTCAACAGTGAAGCATCTGTACTTATATTGGAACTGAGGATCAGACTCATGACCCCGGGTCAACAAGATCACTGCTTGAAAAGCTGAGCTACACTGTAGAGCCACTGTGTAGTTTCTCACTGTGACATTCAATCAGTATGATGAAGGGGAAAAGATAAGAGAGAAAGGATATGGTATCTTCATAAGAGACAGCTACATATGACTCACAGTGTGCTGGTTACAAAGTGTAACTATGTAAATGTTTTGGTAATGAAATCTGCCGTCAACACACGCAACATATTCATATCTGATGAATGCAAATAAGAAATACAGAGATACTGTTCATGGACACAAGTAAAAAAAAAAAATAGAAAAAAAGTAACACAGTATTTAGTTATAAACCTTATCTAATCTTTCACCCTTGATTCATATTCAGTATGTGTTAATAATAATATATAAATAAAAAGTGACCAATTATATCAACCTAATCCTACAATCTTAAAATCCTGTTACACAATGTAATTTTCTACTGTTACTTGAGATTAATGGGATTGGTTTGGTTAAGAAAGTGATTTATGAAGTGAGGAGCTTGTACTTAGAGCCTAATATATTTGGAATGAAAACTATACCCAAAATAAACCCTAAAGAAGGAAGCAGGAATAGAAACAGAAAGGAAGACTGTGAAAGCAAGTAGTCAGTGAATTTCAGCATCCAAACAACTGCTCCTGTATAATTCCATTCATAAGGAAACTCCTTGAATCCTCAGAGTAAATGTAAGTAGATGTAATTATTTGTTCATCATTCAGGTATTATGGGAGGCTTTGCTCCTCATATAATCTGAACTCTATGTTTGTTTGTAGACACATTTTATGTTTTGCAGGTTTAGCTCACCTGTTATACTCTGATTTAAGTCTCAAGGTCTCTAGCTTAGCCTACAACCACAGAATGGTTCCCAACCGTTTTTGACTTGTGTCTCCTTATTAAAAAAAGCAATCTGCACCACGCTGGGGCCCTTTCTCACATTATTAGTTGTCACCAGAGATTGATGATTTTCCCCTCAAACTTCTCTCATGGTTTTGTTTAAATAACTCTTAGGAGGTAAAGAGGTAAAACTCTTTGATGTTTCACAAAAACTGTAAAGATTTGTGAATAGTCGAATAAAAAGATTTGTGCAGATTTGTGAAGCAGAAGTTTTTTCTTCCATGTGCCATTATTATTATAGCATGACCCATTACATTTACCTTGTGACTTAAATACCAAACAGTGTACTTTTCGTTGCTGATAATATGTCTATACTTTTACATATGTCTGTACTTTTACTTCAGTACAATTTAAATGCAGGACTTTTTCCTGTAATGAAATAAATTTAATCAGTGGTTCTTGTACTTTTATTTAAATAAAGCAACTGACAACTTCTCCCACCACTGCTCAGCAGTTGACCTCAAACTAAAGGACAAGGTCTCCACCTCTGAGGACAACAGTGTTCACATTTAAGGCAGAGAGGATCTACCACTTCTCGTCATTTGTTGTCCTGACATCCCCTCCCTAGCAGTTACACACCAATTCACACCTTGATTCATGCGACTCTCACGATTCTCTTATGACTCACATGTGACCCAAAGACCATGTGTGACCTCAGGTGACATCATCACGTGAAGGGGTTAAAATGCCTCTTACATTCAAGTCCATGAGGCCTCACCAGTCAGGAGAAGTGATAAAGCCTCTATAATGAAAGGCAAAACACATAATTTGTTGTTTACTTAACTCATGGGGTAAAACTTACAATAAGTGCATTAAACTAACAAAGGAAAATGGGGGTGAGTTTAGTTCATGGTTTAATTTGCTGAGCTTGTTTTTCAGTGCAACTAGTTTATATGATATAATTTGTCCACATGAAACCTGCAAACAGCGAGATCCATAGGAACAGAAAATCCTACTTCGATTATTTTTAAGAAGTAGTCAATCTGTACATTTACCTGCCTTGAAATAAACCAAGCTAAATTGGGAGGTAACAGGAAAGTCAGGCCCTAGTGAGGATTGAACTCACGACCCCTGGTTTACAAGACCAGTGCTCTAACCACTGAGCTATAGAGCCACACCTACACCACAATCCCTATGTAACACACCGACTCAGTGTGATGAAAGACTAAGAGGTGAGACACTGTAGTCAAGATATAGTATCTTCCTTGCATGACAATATGGCAAGAGAAATTATTTTATATATCACATTCCGGGTTATGAAAAAAATACAATAATCTAACTAAATAACATTACTGAAATATTGTTTGAAATATCACATTAATGTGTAAAGTATGGAAAGTGACTGCTCAATATTCACCTGTTTTGTGTGGGGTTAGAGGTAGTAATCTCTGAAAAATATATCAAAATCACAATTATAATATATGTATTACTACATATTACAACAGGGAGATGATGATTTTTTAAATGTGGGTGAACGCAGCCTTTAAGCAGCAGTACCACAAGTTGGGTGTGGACTGGACTTGTACAATACTGCCACTCAGTGGCCAAAAGCGGCTTGCACTTTATTTGATTTTACGTTTTAATTTATTTATTTACTGTTGGCACAAACAAGTTTCTTGAGTTATATTTTGAGTAACATTATTTTTATTCATTTTTAAACGGATTTTGTTACGGGTTGGATTAAAGTAGATTCAACTTTGTGGTTGTGCAGAGTACAGGTAGAAAAAGCCACTGAAATGCAAAGAAATATTCTTTACAGCTGAATGTAACGGGGTGTGATAGGACCCACGTGCAGCACAACCAAACAGATGGATAGTTGGAAATGACCTTTATTGAAATACCAGCAGAGAGAACACACACGAGGCAGGATGGTCAGGGGCAAGCAGAGTCGAAAACACGAAGTCAGTCCGGGGATAATCGCTGGAAAGTCAAGCATGACGCTGAGAACAATCTGGCAATGAGCGAGTGAACCGGGGATGTATATATAATGGTCTGATTGGGGATCGACTGCAGCTGGGGGCAACAGGTGAAGACAGTGAAGCTGATTAGGAGGTGTGACAGAGTGGAGAGTGAGAAATCGGCATAGCAGGCTGTGACACTGAAGTGCAGTTATGAGTAAAAGCTACAGAATAAGTTATGCTATATCTTACAATATATGCAGTGTGTGGGATGCAATAGGCAATATATGTAATTGTTTGTATATAGATATTAAGTGGTTGGAATATGGGGAATAGTTGTTCACACCGTAAAATTGCACTGCATATTAAAGCACTAAGACAATGGAGTATTACTATCAACGCTGTGAAACACAAGTTAAAAAAAATCCTGTATGTTACTTAATTTAACAGGGATTTGATGATAAAAATGAAAAATGTGGTCGTTAAGGATTTTAATTTAATACAATTTTAATTATTCATCTAAAATTATTCAACGACAGACAGGAACACACAATAGATAAAAGTAAAGAGAAAGACCAGTATAATTAAAAGATATTAGCTAAAAAAAATGCTTGAGGAATTATTAATCAATACATCTAAATGCCTAAATATAATTTATCTTGTATCATTTGATATCAATATAATAGGCCTATTACCAAAGATAACAGACTAGAGGAGACTGGGGGCGGTTTCAACACAAGACCAACAAAACTTTTAAACTTACATCTGTTGGCTAATTACCCATACCATTTTAAAGATGATTGCCTTTGACATATCATTCACAGTATTTATTTGAATGGAAGATGTTGCAAAGAATTCAGATGTTGCAACTGACCCTGACCCTGAGGTCTTTTGCTTTAAAATTAGCAATTACTATCGCATCTGTTATGCTAGTGGACAAAATTAGCAGCATATATTGTCTAATATGAACTAAACAATGTTGACACATACTTGTGTGGTCTGTTTTAATATGGCTGCTTAGCTTGGGGACAGTTACAAAAACTTGTTGCAACCATCCCCACTCTAAAAGCCATGACAGAACATGACGTGCTAGCTAAACACGCTGACCTTGACACATGCTAACCATTTCACTTAGAAGTCAACAAAACAATGATTCAAACTAAGTTTTGATTAATTCATACTTACAGTATGACAAAAAATGCAGCTCATGAAAATACTTTCATACTTCCCTTTTTTTTTTCAATTAATGCAGTTACTGAATGTATCTTCTATCTTCCTGCAGAGGGGAGGGTCTAACTGAGCATGTGCAGTATGAGTGTCATCACTCTAGCATGTTTCTGATTGAAGGAATACGACTTGTTGCAACCGTTCCTTAATTGCAACCATTGCCAGTCTCCCCTACTATATATCTAACCTCTAAGATATATTTTCTGTGTAGGTACTATCACCCTTGACTCACAATGCAGGGAAGGAAGTCAGTGAGGTTTTGAGGATTCTGTGCTGCACTCTGTCAGCGCGCGCGCGCACACACGTGCGTACAGGCAGATCTGCACCTCCCGTCTGCATGTCACCAGCATCGGTGACAGGAAGCGTCTATCGCCTCTCATTTTTTCATGTCGCGGTGCTGGATGTTTTATTTGAGCAGCTGCAAATGTTTTAAACTTATCTTAGAAAAACTGTAACACCAACCGTTTTTTTTTCTTTAATTACCTGACCTTTGAACGGACGTGAAATTAATTGGCGAGTTAAAACGTTGAGTTAAAAGTTGTTAAAAGTTATTATATTTTAGTTACGGTATACTTGTCGAGAGGAAATCTGTATATTCAGAGCTGGAGATGACTTCTGGAGGTTTGGGGCTCACCGAGAGCCTGGGTCAAGACATAAGTCAGGAGGAGTTGGACTTTTCTGACTTGTTTCTGTATAATCCACCTGAAGAAGATTTTCCTGTTGGCTGTGACAAAGGTATGTGTGTATGTATGCATCAATTATTCTGCTTTTGTAGAGAATTAACATAATATCCTGTTTCTAGTTACATCATGATAATTTGTTAGTGTTTTATCATCACCATGTAAAGATGGTGGATGTGTGTTGAGTTTGTATTTAGCTGTAATGAAGTGGCTGAGTAAGTGCTGAGCTGTCAGGTACTGATGTTACACTGAAATCTCCTTTTCACTGCCATTAAACAGGCGAAGTCAAGGCCTCTTTTTTTTATAAACAGTAAAATGGGCATGTGCTGTCTTTTCCACTGTTAAGAGGAGTTCAAATTTAAATTCCACCTCCACTCAGAAGCATGTTTTGCTCTACTTCACTTAGATGTTTGACCTTCACTGTGCAGAGTATGATAGTAGAAGACAGTTTCACTGTGCTCACTTCCAATGTGAAAATGATTTACTGACATCACAACTAGTGTGAAAGCCAATTTACAGAAGAGCGATGAGGAAACAATAATAAAAAAAAAAAACTTTACAGTGCAGTATGAGACATATTGTGACCAGTGGTTAAACTTTTTACATTTGCTCATTCATAGACTCTGGATTTTTTCAATGAGTGCAAAGACATAGATTTTTAGATTTTTTAAAGAGTTAATTCAATATTTTCGTGGAATAAACATATCAGACACAGATTATATGTCTATATAATGATATTATATAAAATATAAATTTGCCTGGAGGGGATCTGTGATTGCACAAATGAATCCTTACTTTTGATATTTACAGATGATCCGGGTGCTCTCCTTCAGAACGACAACCAGCCTCCTCTGTTGGTGGTCGGTGATCCCACTGCGTACATCTCCGCCTCCAACCAGCCTGCCTCCAGCCAAAACCCCTCCTCTCAGTGCCCCACCACAGAAAACCTGTCAGGGGCTGTGTTTGACTCCTTGGGGCTGCCATCAAGACCGGGGAACATACCTGCTCCAAGCCCCAGGATTGAGATCACTCCATCAGGCGACTCTCTCAGCTCGCAGACCCTGGAGCTGAGCCCCAGCTCTAAAGGCCGTGCAACCTATAGGGAGTGTGTGAGCCCTGCCAGCAGTAACTCCTCCACAGGATGGCCAGCAGAGTCATACTCCCCAGTGGCCTCACCTTGTGTCTCTCCTTCCAATGCAGCTGGCTGTAGCATGGGGGTGTCCGCCTTAGATCTCTGTCCGGGCCTCCAGGGCATCCATACTTCTTCTGCCCACTCCTCTCCAGGAGCCTCACCTCTCAACAGTGTCACAGATGAGACCTTTCTCCTGCCACAACACCAGCGTTCTGCTGCGCCACTTCCCCACCAGCGCTCCCGCTCTGCCTCACCGCATGGAAAGCGTGCATATGACCAGGCCCACTCCTGTCAGGGGGGCACTCCTATCAAGCAGCGCTCCCGAAGCCCCAGCCCCATCCCATCGCCTCATGAGCAGCAGGGGTCCCACTACCTCCAACAATTCCAGGCCCAAGCTGAGTTTCAAGCCCAAATTCAGACCTCCTCCTTAGGCCTGGAGGAGGACTGGGGCCTCGGCTCCGGCCTATCCAGAGCAGTGCCCTCTGTAGTGGGGCGAAATGCACATGGGCAGGCACAGAGACAGGACTGCGTGTATGGACAGCTATATGACTGGCCCATTGAGCAGGAGGGGATTGGCAGGGCAGGACCCGAGGTCAAGTCTGACACCATTTATATGGTCCCAGCTGTGTGGCCTCCTCCTCATCCAGTCCATCATGGAGCATTCAGGTGTGTTGTTTGTCCTTTTTTATGACTTACAAACAATTTATATCTTTCTAATAAGATCAATCATTTAATTGACAACTATGAAATGAAATATTTCAATTGTATTTTTTGTCATTCTCTAAATTTTTGTCTTTTTTTTTGTCTTTTGTCTTTTTTCCAGTCGTCTCTCTGTGGCCCCACTTCCATCCTTAGAGTGGCCATTGCCCAGTCAGTCTGGTCAGTATGAATTACTGATCCAGCAGCAGCCCAGATCTCACCACAGAGCTCACTACGAGACTGAGGGTAGCCGAGGAGCTGTAAAGACACCGAAAGGGGGACATCCGGAAGTTCAGGTGCTTGTTTTGTTTCACACTTGGAGGGTGTGAGGTTTGCATGTGTGTGAATGCAAAGAAGGAAACAGAAAAAGAAAAAGATCCTTCTCACTTTGTCACTGCCAATGCCGTAGGAAAGAAGAGCATGAGTGGGAGTAAGAGGTCGTAAATGTGGAGTGGTATTTCCTGGACAATGTGTTTATGTAAAGCCGGCAGGCATGCAAATGAAAGAAAAGCCTCATGTCACTATCACATCACTACTCCCACAGGGACAGTTTACTAAAGGCATGCATTGCTTGAAACTACTAAAACTACACTAATAGTTACAATTAAGGTATATTTACTAACATACAAGTATTGGTACATGGATCTGCTTTATTTACTCCTCTGGTGAGTTAATTAATAAGTCATCACTGCTGGGTTTCCTGGCACTGCTGCACAAACGGGCTATGCAAAGCAGTGTTCTCGCTATGCCAGTTAGACAGTGACCTGTGAAATCATCCCCACAGGGAGAATAGATTTCCTCTGCAGTCATGCACGTTAATGGCATTATAGTCAATTTAGATCATTGTGAAGCATGCATTTGATCGCTTTTGTTGCCCTCACCAGCTCCACGGGTATCAAGGCACGGTTCCACTGTGGCTGCAAGTCTTCATAGGGACGGCAGATGAGAGACTCCTGAAACCCCATGCCTTCTATCAGGTCCACCGCATCACCGGGAAGACCGTCACCACGGCCAGTAAGGAGAGGATGACAAACGGGACTAAAGTGTTGGAGATCCCCCTGGAGCCAAAGAACCACATGAGAGTGGTGTGAGTAAAACAGAAAGGGTGTGGGGATACATGTTCACCAAAAATAAGTCATGAGTGAATCACAAACACACTGAATGAAGGAACATCAATCAACAAAAGATTTTTTTTTTAAGACAGTCGTCTGTGACCTCATGCTTATTAAGCAATCTTCAGTGGTGTTTTTTGCACTTTGTCTCCCAGAGTTACAGATGCAGAGATAAAGTAAACTGAGCTGCCAGGCAGTTTTCTTTGGATTTTACATTTATGAAGTTTGAATTTGATTATGTGTTAAATGCTCGACATTTCTGTCTATACTCAGCCATGGCGGCTATTGCTGCTAATGCCAGCTACAAGGTATCGTTTTTCCTCCCAACAAGTTGCTGTTGCTGCTGACGGAAACTTGAAATGCATCACTTCCTGCGTGCCAGAAAGTTTTTCCATGAAAGCCTAACCAGATACAGGGTATTTACAGCAGCAAATAGAAATGCTTTGATGAACTTGACATGTGATGAATGACTGCAAAATAGCTGCAAAAAGTTTTTTTTTTTAACGAAATGCCACTACTTTGAAAGAACAAAACAAGATTATAACTCACTGATCAGATTACAGCTAACTATAGTTTGACTTGGACTGTGTGAACAAAGATAGCAGTAGATTTTGGTGTAAATCAAGGTGACAGCACTTTGGCATCATTTCCAAAACATTTTCACCTTATCTGTGTTTTCTCCCACTTTTTACAGGATTGACTGTGTAGGGATCCTGAAGCTGAGAAACGCAGACATCGAACTGAGGAACGGTGAGACGGACATCGGACGAAAAAACACACGTGTGCGTTTGGTGTTTCGTGTCCACATTCCCCAGCCTGGAGGCCAGCTTGTGTCTCTTCAAGTTTCCTCTGATCCTATTGAATGCTGTAAGGAGTATTTAATTCATGATAAGCAAAAAGTGAATGTTCCCCAAGCTATACTAGTCAACACAGCAATTCTGGATTTTAATTATCAAAAATAGATTGGACAAATGTCCTGAAAATTTTCCCACTAGATGCTTTATTACTCTAGCTTGGTTTTTCATACAGCCATGTCTTCCTGTTTCCTCAGCCCAGCGCTCAGCAATGGAGCTGCCTGCAGTTGAGAGGCAGGACCTGGACCGATGCTCAGTACTCGGTGGTCAACAGATGGTCCTCACTGGACAAAATTTCACACCTGACTCCAAGGTGATATTCTCTGAGAAGACGCAAGGTGAGGAAGAGATCTTTTTTTGAAATCAGCAAACCTCTTTCCCCCTGTTTTGGTCTTTATGTTAAACTAACCAACTGCTAGCTGTAGCTACTGCTAGCTGTAGCTACCTATTACCATCCAGAAATGACAGTAGTATGACTCCTCCAATCTAACTTTAAACAAGAAAGCAGATAATTGTATTTTCCCCTGTAGCTATTTTTGATGTGTGTCTTATCTTGACCTCTGGTTGTTTCTATAATTAAAATAGGTCCATATTTTGTACCTCACCCACTTACTTCCTCCTTATATCCTACTTGAGTGTATTCACCTACTCATATAGTATTTGTATTTTGAGATTATTTTGCATATCACCCGGGAAACATCAACTTTCAGTGACGCACATCTTCCACCCCCACATTTAACTGACTCTGACAAATGAACCATTAGTTTAAACTTTTACTGTCTTGCTGGAGAAAAACATTTTTATTTATTACTTTGTGGAAATTTCTCACCTCGTTACTGCACCTTCTGCCCACACACAATTGTTGGGCTACATGGTTTGAGAGCAGGATGGGTACAGTTGTCTGCGTGTAAAGCCTCCCTATTGCTTGGTGTGGGGTTTTATGCAACAGGATGTGGTTTGGCAGACTGATAAAGATTCAGGCCCAGAGCAGAGGCTTTGGTTTTTTTTTTTGTTTTTTCTCAAAGCGTGGGTAGAAAACAGAAACAACAGGTAAAAACTGAGGTGGGATTGAAACACTAAACCAGACATAAAAGAGAAAGCAGTTTTCCACTGCCTTTGTTTTAAATGTGCTCACTTGCTGTACTGTAAATTAAGGACAGGACTGATGTCTAACAAATTCATTGTTAACCCAATCAAAGATGCTTTTTATAGCTTGATATTTTACCAAAAATACACATTTGCTTTCTTGCCAAGAGTTTGATGAGAAGATCAAAGTAATCCGGCACATAACCCCCTGTACAAACTTGTCAGTTTAATGCGTTGCTTTTTGTTTTGATCAAACAAACAAGATATAACATTTTAATTAGTGAGTTTTAGTTTAGTTTCTTGCCCTTGTACAGAGCCAGGCTTGCTGTTTCCCTCTGTTTTCAGTCTTCAAGCTAAGCTAATTTAACCAGCTGCTGACTACAGCTACATATTCCTTCTACAGTCATGGGAATCAGTCCAGCGTGGAATCAATCTTAATATCTAACTCAACAAGAAAGCGAATACGTGGATTTTCCAAAATGTCAAACTATTATTTTAAAACCCCCTTTAAAACTCACCGCACCCTGTATTCCCTCTGCTTTCAGACGGGCAGCAAATCTGGGAGGTGGAGGCCACTGTGGACAAAGACAAAACACAAGCTGTGAGTGAACTTCTACTTATCTGTACTGATAAATGCATTCAGGCAGTAACATATTTTACAGAACCAATGATGTACTTTTTTGTCATTAAATCAACATTGTCTGGCACAAACTTCACATGTATTCAAAACATAAAGCAATACACAAAGTCTATGACCGCGCTTTTCGGACTTCCTCTACATCATATTTAAAGAATCAAATTTTTGATGCTGATTTTGATCTGAAATTCACAAGGGAGATATTTGGGGGCAGCCCACACCTCTCTGTTGCTACATGATTCTTTGTCTGATCTTTTTTGTGTTTTATTGCAATCCCCGTCTAGAACATGCTGTTTGTTGAGGTCCCTCGGTATCGTGACAGGACCATTTGCCACCCAGCCAAAGTCAACTTCTATGTCATCAACGGGAAGAAGAAACGCAGTCAGCCCCAGCACTTCATCTACACTCCTGTGAAAGGTACATATCTGTTAACTCAGGTCTGTCACTACAGGGGGAAATGTAGGTGGCCAAAAGGTGGACAAAAGGTTAACAGTTCCCACCTTGGGGTTGGCAGTGTTGTGGGGAAATATTGTTGTCACCTCTCACAACACAAACCACATGCTGAAAGACAACCTGCAACATTAATTCAACCTTACAGTGGTTATAGTGTTGCTGAAAAGAGGTTAATATGTGTAAAGTCTCCCATCCTCTTATTAAGTCAAACTAAGACACTGCAGGAAATTGCAACACTTAAGTCTGATTAAATCTAACTGCTACACAATTAAAAGCAGCCAAGGGGAATCTTTCTATGATCTTTATATTAAACCAATGTTCTACAGTTTTACAAGAAATCAGTCCCAGTCACAAGAAATCGATCAATCAATTGCTGTTTGCAGTAAACCGCAGTCACAACACGTTTTTACGTAGGATTGGTAACTCTCACTTGTTCTCAAGGGAAAAACCTGCTACTCTACTATTGTTTTTGCTAATCCCCTCATCACATACATGTGATACTCATATTTGAAATTCAAATGCACTGTTCAGCACGTTTCAGAAAGCATTTCAGGAAACAATGAACTTTGTTAATTAGTAGACTGATGAGGGAGATGATAAATCCTTGTAACATCTTAGGACTCACTAATCATTTTTAACCATGCTCTGTGGATGGCAGTGCTGCTCTTTCAGACGGTCGCTCCACCATTTTAGTCCAGAATGAAATATCTCAACAACTATTGGATGGATTGCCATGATTTTTTTTTTTTTTTTTTTTTTATTCCAGCCATTAAAGCCGAGCCAGTGGATGACTATCAGTTGAATTCATATGGCTACTCAGATAATCAGTCACTGCCTGGTCTGACAATGAAGTCACTCTACCATCACCTGGAGCAGGACAACAACCTTCAAGCCTTGAATGCTTCTCCAACACTGTACCATCTAGCCACTGTAGACCCCAGAGCCTGCATGTTAACACCTAATCCAGTGGAAGACCAAACAGTCTATTACCAGTCCAGAGCCAGCACTCTGATTAACAGTCCCGTACTGTACCAGACTGCAAACCAACATTACAGTAGCTGTGGTAGCACCGTTCTTGGCAGTTCCCCAATGGCTTCCCATGCTGCCGCCACTCCCAGCCAGTGTGTCAGTACCCTTGTGGGCAAACTGAGCGAAGGCCCTCAGGTTGGTGATTCATTTGAGGCCTGTTTGATGTCGAGACATCAGAGTTTTATGCAGACAGCGCTGCAACTGGGGAAGTCACCACCTTCAAGATACGTCCTAGGTCAAGCTCAAGGAAAGGCCGTATGCAGGGTAGAGCCAAGTACAGGAAACCATGAGGAACGGGCTCCAGAGAGGGTCACAGTCAAACAAGAGAACCTCAGCTATGCCTACCTGGAAGATGGTGAGTATTACTGTTACATACTAAATGGGTCAGTGTGCTGCAAAAGAAATGCAGATTGTTGAACATCGTCTGAATCAACTCTATCCTTCACACCTTTCTGACATCAAAACTAGAGGAGCAATGTCTGACCGAACAGTCCGATAAGAACTTCCACTTGATGTTACACTTACCAGATGGTTCTCTAATATTTATTAGCAGATATATGCTCCAATACATACAGTATCTTGATACTGAAAGAGGAGCAGTCTAAGGTTTCTCTGACCCAGACTCATTGGAACAGTCTGGCAGCAGTGCAGACATATTCCCTCCTAAAGTTTCTGAGCGAACCGCCCCTTTCTAACCAATTAGAAAAGGCCAGAGTCAGGAGTGGGAGCTCACAGCTGTCAATCATGAAATCAATCAGTCATGACATGAATGCGCTTCTGGTCTATTCCTCATCTCGCACCAAGGCTTCAAGCTAAGATGAAGATTTAGAACTATGAGGATCTAGCAGTCAATCAAATGAAGTGGGAACCTCCACAAAGACTTTGAATGTATCCTTTAGTCAGTTGGTGTTTATGTTTTGTATCCGATAGTGTAACATTTTGTGTGTATACAATTGTGTAGTGTAATTGGCAATACGTTTACTTTATCCTATTATCCAGGGTCTAAGTCTAATCTGTTTGGGTTCTAATGGATTTGTTTCACTCCCTGGTTTATCTTTGTTGATTTTGAAAAATGTTCTTGAGAAGATTGCTAAATTGTTTGGCTGATTTTGTAGATGATACGCTATTGATTTTCATGAGTAAATGGGAGCATGCACTACTTAAAAACCTCTAAAAAAATAACAGGGTTTGAAATGAAATGTGGAAGCCTGGGGGATGGGTATTTGTGGTCCAGTCTGCAAATGCATACAAGCATGCTGCAACTATAGGCTTGCAAATCCCGCCTTGTGGTTAACTGTCAGGCCTTTCTATCCACTTTCCTGTCTGTTTCAGTCTGACTTTCACTCTGTCACACACACGTAAACGCACACACTTGCATTTGAAATAAATGTGTACAAGTTGCTTATGAATTCTGAAAGATGCAACAACAATGAGAGAATAATCAGTCTACCCTGACCTTGTTTGCTGTGGGGGAAAGTTTCTGTTTACACCTCTGTGATGGAAGACAGAAACAGGAAGTGTATTGTATAGGCAAATATATGCAGACACACCTGTGGTAAAGAAGGAAAAGAAGAAAGAACGCAGCAATGACCTTTGTCTCTGATACAGGCTGGAGTTATAGTGAAAGTTTAGGAAATCACAACAATGTTTTTTTACTGAGCATCAGAAGGAAAAAATAACCTACTGTGTTAAAGTCATTATTTCCCTTCACCATTGTTTCTTGAGGGTTAATAGGATTAGGGCAAATACTAATAATCTTGTTATTTTTTCTGTCAAAAGATGAATGTGTAAGAACGGTACTTATTTTTGTGAGGACAGAGACACTTGCTCAGTCCAAAAAACACTGCTGATAATCTGTGTTCAAGAAAGTAGAGACATCTTGTGGCCATTAATGTAATTGCAATACTTCACAACATCACTGCAGGGATTTATGTGTGAAATTACAAAATGTCTGGGGACAATGGTGGCTTTGTCATCTAGGCACCAACCGCAAACCTCAAAGTCCCGGATTCAAGTCTAGGTGAGGACCCCATCTCACTCCCCCCTCATTTCCTGTCATCTCTTGACTGTGAACCATCATATAAAAGAATGAAATGCCCCCCGCTACAAAAAAAAGAAAATTGATGACAAGAAACAACTCCAGTTTTGACTGTAATTGCTCTTTTTGTCCACAAACAAAAATGTATACCAGAAGAAATTTAAAAATCTGCACAAAGGGGTTTTAGATATAAAACAAATGCATATGAAACTAAGACAGATTTATTTAAAACCATCTTGTTTTATTTTTATATTGTGAACATTAAAGTTGCTCATCCCTATTTTTTTAATGTTTTGCAGTGAACGACATCATTAGAAGGGACTTGAAAGGCCACAATGGAGAGTGAACCTGGAGGCCTGCAGCAGCCCTGCTGTCCGTCACATTCAAAATTTACGCAGTAAACATGATCTACAGACTTCAGAAACTATAAATATAAAATCCTCTTGGAGTAAGCTTTTACTTGTAAGACTCGTAATAAAATAAAAAAATTGACTGGATTTGTGGCAGATATTTAAGGCAAACAATAGAAACTAATCCATAAAAGGCTTATGTTGACTTTATTTCAAGATTATTCATGTTTCTGTGAAACTAGGATGGGTGGTTGTTCCAAGCTCAGTTCTCAGCTACAACATTTTACATCAAAAATGAGTCAGCTCTGTTACTTTGTTAGCCTACAATATTGTCATACAGTTTAGTCTAGCAAAGACGCGTCATTCTATATACTGTGTGTCTGTATCGTTTCTTTATTTTAACCTGTTTAACTTCCCTCTGTTCATATATTTGTACAATTGCTCATTGTAAGCATGTATAAAATATTTTATAAGAAATAAAATCTGTTTATATGAAGCAGTGTGTTTAAAATGAGCAGACTGAAGAGTAAATCAAATAATCTCAATTAATATACTTTAAAACTAACTGCCTTTAACTTTGAAATGACTTCAAACTATATTAGAGCACCAGTTCATCAGTCAAGTAACCTGGCCTGGTATAATAAACTACAGCTATAAGATAAATACAGTGGAGTAAAACATAGTAGATACATAGATTTTTCTGTATTGTGTATTTTTCTCCACAGTATACAGTTTTTCCAGCCAGGGGCAAACAGCAAAACAAATGAGAAACAAGACGTGTAATTAATAGCATAAGAGAGAGAGAAAAGAGAAATTATTTTTTTTTAAACTTACTTGCTTTTGGATTGGAGGTCCTAATACAATCTATGTAGTGCGTCAATTCACATTTAAATACAATAAAAAAAGGTTTTGTTTTTGTGAATTTAAATTTATGCATGTGGTTGTTGAGAAGAATAAAGATTAGATTTATTATAAGATAAAATCCTTTATGGTGGTTGTGAAAATTGCAATAACTAAAAACATAGCTTTAAAGTAAACATATATGTAATAAAAATAATATCAGAGCACTATTTCTGTGTGTAGTTGCAGGACCAAAATAAGTGGAGGACTGTCTCAGAGGATTTACCACAGAAAGAACAGCATGTACTAATGTGTTTTTGTAGTCTCTGGAGGAAGCATTTTGCTGGATGAAAGAAAATATGCCTCACCCTAATAGATGGTTAAGTCCACACTGCTCATGTAACGGTGTCTGTCTGATACGAAGCTTTTATTTTTCAGTTTTTATTCTTATGATCAGACGAGAAACACATTTTACTTATAAGACATTTACGTGGATCTGAGTTATCATTCAAAAGCCAAACGACACCTGCAGGAATGACATCTAGTAACTAAAACTGCAAAGTCATTTGGATTTGCAGGAATTTGTTATTTTAATAAAAATTCATTATATCCCTTATTTCTAAAAGGAGGCCACCGGAGTTGAGAAGTTTTAGAGTCGGTATCGCAATGTTTGCAGTTCAACGCGAACATTAGGGGGCGGCATTTCCAAACCAATCGTTAACCGGGACGGAAGTGGGTTATAGATTAGTGACCTCACTTCCGTTAAGAAGAAGGAATTTTTTTTCCTCCCTTTGTAAACCTAACTAGCATCTTTCTTGATAGCATTTCACAGCCTTATATATATTTATAGCCCTGGTATTGATGTTTGCATCCCAATAACGAAGAAGAAGAGTGACATATTCCCACCACTGGTAAGATTTTCTTCCACGCAAACACAGAATATCGCAACATTATAGCCTGTCTGTGTTTAGCTAAAATCTATGTATGGAAGAATGTAACACAGTCTCAGTGTTTTTTTTACGTTGTACTGGCAGCATCCACATTAATAACTTACAGTAACTAAATTCATGAGATTAGAATACGTCATTTGACTTTTGTTTCAAGATTGTTTGTCATGAATTGATAGTAATATTAAGTAGAGCTGCAAGTACTAGTCAATCAGTTGATCGCACCATTGAAAGAAAATTAATAGGCTATAATTTTGATAATCGTTTATTGGTGAATTTTCAAACAAAATTTAAAAATATTTGCGGATTCTAACTTCTCAGATGTGAGCAATTGCTGCTTTTAAGACATTTAAGACTTTAGGCTCTGGGAAACCATTATCATCCTTATTAACTTATAACTATTTTCACAACTTTGTGACATTTTATATTGGAGTGAATAATCTGCAGATTAATCAATTAATAAAATAATCATTAGTTGCAGCTCTAGTATACAGTGTAGGTAGGACTATAGCTACAAGTGTGAGGGAAAGGTGTGGGCACCCCTGGGCAAACTTTTGAAGTGAAAAAATGTAAGTTAGAGCAGCAACAGTTAATTAGTTATTTTAATAATCAAGTAATTGTTTAAGTTATTTTTAAATACAGATTGTCAAATATTCTTCCAGTTTCTTTTTTGCACCTTTTCTTAGTTGTACGTGTTAGTAAATGCAGTATTTTTTTTTGACTGTTCAACTGTTCAACAATCAATTAATCTGTAGATGAATCGATAATGAAAATAATTGTCAGTTGCAGCCCTACACTAATTACAACCCCTGCAGGAAACTCGCATTTAAAAGGAGAGTTTATTCAAATGTTAATGTAATACTTTTTATTTCATGAACTTAAAACATAGCAAAAATTAAATGGTATTTGTGGCATGTGCAATAGAGTTGGGCAAGTCAGCATTAAGTAACCAGACGAATCCCCCTCAATGACCCCTCCATACATCACTTTTTGTAATCCTGCTAACTATGCACCTGTTGTTTACCCAGAGAGGTCATTGAAGGAAACAGACCAAACAGCATCATGTCTGCAGACCTGGACCTGTCCCCTCCAGAGGTCCCTGAGCCTACATTTCTAGAGAGCCTACTGCGCTACGGGTTGTTTCTGGGTGCCATCTTCCAGCTCATCTGCATCCTGGCTGTCATCTTCCCCACATCCAAGGGGCATGAACAGGTAGGTAGACACCAAGAGGAGGAGAAGAGCAGGCCTTGTGTTGAAGCCTTTTCCTCCTTCAAACTGTTTCCCCTGCTGAGGCCCTCCACAGTCGGGGTCAGATATACATTGGGGCTCAGTTAAAAGTGAAAAGGGGATACAAATTGATGGGGAAACAGACTCTGACACAACATGGGCAGTGATCAAAACATCACTGTACACAAAACCTTTGATAGCAAAATATGCCCCTATAAAGTGCTTGCTTTGATGTATTTGTCAATTTGGTGTTGATATTTTTTAGAATTTTAGTATCTCTGTTGAATCACCTACTTTCACATGTATTTTTTTTAATGAGATTTTACATTTTTTTCTTTGCTAGATGATGGAGGAGCAAAAATTATGTGGAAGAATAGGGGATTGAAAAAGTGTTGCAGTTGAACCCGAAACATAACATCTACATTCTCCTCACGTTAATCAATTTTTCCATCAGGACACATTTTCAATCCAGCTTGATAGTCAGGGTGAACTGCTGTTTTGTTTTCACCTTATTATTATAGATGGGAGCAGCAGTTTTGAGGTCTGGAACCAAGAAACTACCAATCAATGAGTTTGAGTTGATTGCTGCTCAGTGTAACAGTAAAAGATAAATCTATTTTATTTCTGACAGAATGCCTGAAAAGTGTAAAAAACATTTTCTCCAAATTTTTCAAGAGTAACTAGGAATACTGTGGCTTGACAGATTCTGCCATAAAAGAGGTTCTGCTATAAAAATCTTGCAGAATTTTACCATTTCATCTCTGAAATACAGAGAAACAAGACATCAATGAGCAAGAGGGGTGCTGAATATTTTATTTTTGAATGTCCGTGAAGACAGAGCCACCAAGGGCTACTTTCTCAATCTCTATACTAACAACTGTCAGGAGAGATTATTTATAGACAAGAGCAATTAAATCCACTTTCTAATTATTCTATTTTCAGACATCATCATCAGATGCACTGATTATTCCCCACAGTATGTCGCCATTTCATCCTTTACAGCATCCTGCTGTCATTCTTCCCCACTAGGACAATAGGAAAGATTGCACTCGCAGAAACAGTGCTGACAGAGGGAAAGTGCTGAAATGCCTGAATTTCTTTTCTTTGGTGTGCGTGTCCAAAAACTCTGTAAATTTCATTCAACCATCCATTTAATTAAGATTAAATGAGCTATCTGGAAACTGCAAACAGAAAAACTAACAGAAAAATTAATTGTTATCACAAATTACTAACGCCCTCTGTGCAATTTACTAAATAAAACACAAACTGTTTCATGATGGAAAATAAAACCAAATACCATATGTGTGAGTGTCAGTCAGCAAAAGCATAATCCAAATACATCTTCAAAACACACTTATCTAATCATGCTTAGCAATCATGTATTTTCACACCCCATTTCAATGACTCAGGGGATTTCTTTTGAAATTGCAGGGTGTTACATGCCTCATGTGTTTACTCTACAGGAGGAGACTGAGTCCACTGATGGCAAGGCGTCTGAACAGATGAAGAAACCTAAAGGACCAGCAACTCAGATTCGACAGAAGCCAAAGAAAGAGAGCAAAAAGAAGCGATAGACAGGTGTGTGTGTGTGTGTGTGTGTGTGTGTGTGTGTGTGTGTGTGTGTGTGTGTGTGTGTGTGTGTGTGTGTGTGTGTGTGAGAATCAACATCTGCAGATACCCATACAGTTATCACTACAGGTATATGAAACACTAATGTCATATTACAATAAAAATGTATGTGCACTTAATTTGAGACACTTCAGAATTAAACATGAACTGTGTCCTATTCGCAATCAACACAGTATTACAAGAAGCAAATTGCCATGGTGTTGGTGCGGTGCTGACTGCCACATATTTTATTGGGTATATGTTTTGCATTTCTTTTCTTTTATAATTGAGTATCATTGATTGAATTGTATTTGGATGCAACAGGCAATTAAATGCATTTTGCAGTCATTCACCCTAGTTGTTTTTATTCATTGGCAAATTTCAGTTTGGTTTAATGAGTCAGAATGACTTCCTTGCTAAAGCTATTTTTGTTTATATTTACACAATATTCAGACACTGCGGTTGCAGAATTCAAGATGTAAGGAAAAATTTAAAATATAAGGTGACTAGGTCATAGTTCCATATCATGCTTATGTTGTATGTATGTATGTTAACAATTTATTTATTTTATTTTGGCCAACATGTATCAGGACTTTCAAATGGTAATACAGGCCTCAAAAAGCCATATTTCAAATCTAGCTCTTGTATGGGGATAATACATGGAAGTGTCACAATCAACACTGAAAAAAGAACAAAAAAATGTGTTAAAGGGATTTAGGGAAAACTAATAGTTTTGTTAATAAATGATGATAAATTCACATTAGAGCTGCAACAATTATTCAATCCACAAAAAAACTAATCAACAATTTTGTTAACCAATTTTCTCATATTCTGATCAATTTATTTCAGCTTCTCCATTGTGAGGATTTGCTGCTTTCTCTTATACATATTTATTGTAAACTGAATATTGTTGGGTTTTAGGCTGTTGATTAGACAAAACAAGACATCCCTTTATTTTTTATATTTTTTAGATCGAGTAATCAAAATGTAACTGACAGATAAATTGATACTGAAATAATTTTGTCGCTATCCTAATTCACACTGCTCCAATATACACCATAGTATTTTATTCGAATATGAACAATAATACTTCTACTATAATCAATACTAATAAGAATTAGTAATTCTGGTTATTTCTTAAACTAATTATTGTGTTTTAAGCGTTCAAGTTGTTTCCGGAAAGTAGTTCCGACCCTAAATTGTGATTAATATTAATGCGCCAACCCAAAACTGTTAGTTACAGCAAAGTGCGTGTCGCTTAGCAACCGACTTAGCTCGCCACTAACTGGGTTCTGGTGAAAGGAGGCAGCTGTTTTCTAATAAATATTTGTGCCGTGTCGTTGTAATTACATTAAAAAATGTAGTCGATTGGGGCTGATGAGCTGATTTTTAAGTAAGCGAAACTGGGGTGTTGTGCCTGCCAACGCCTCGGTGAATTGAACTATTTCGGCGTCGAGTTCCGCAACACGACGTGAATCTGCCTTCCACCGTAGCTACGTAAAAAGCGTACAATCCAGGCTCGTCATATTTGCACTCCAGTGTTTCGTCAGTGATGCACTATCCCGTGCTTTCCCCCTACGAGGCATGTCTTCTTCACACTACACCACTCCTGCTTCGTCGCATGAATTCACCGCGCCGTCGCCTCTTCCCAGCTGAACTGGCTACTTCACCGTAGGTTTGGTGTTTGTCCGGCCCACCGCAGCCGCCCGGCAGCTGTGCCCTCTGCTCCTGAAGGCAGTCCCCGTCATGACCTCCTCCTTCTGCTATTTTGCCGAAATTCGCTAAATGGGATTCGTGGCTGGTCCGAGGTTTCCACAGCAACTGGCCATCCGTTTCCACTATTTCTCTAATGAGGACAGCCATACGGATTTAACACGGTTCCTCGCTGCGCGTCTCTGATTTTTGGGCTGAATCTCAAGACGCGTCAAAGGTGAGTTAATTAAACCTCGAGACGTTTTAATGCAAAACAATTAGATTTCTTTCGGGATCACCACCAGGGCTTTTGGTTTGTTGCTGCGCATTTTTCTCATACGGATGCTTTACACACAGCGTCTGATAACCCCCCCCCCCCCTCCTCACATTGACTTGTATTTCATTGTTGCACAGGCCATTCAGTATGTATTGCTCGCACATTTGCTCAGTGCCACTCAGTCTGTGCCAGGGCTATGTTGTTGACGATTTACTACACCCCATACAACATGCAAACCATGTTCAAATGTCATTTTTTTTAAAAATCTTTGCCACGATCAAATATACACAGGGAGGACGTGGTAAATCGACTGCGCAAAGAAAATAAAGCCAACAATCCATCGAAATTCAAAATGGAGCTGTAACAGCACCTGTTTTGATTCATCAGGCCGCATATGCGCTGTATGTGAGCTGAAGCCTACGACAGCCACAGCAGCATTGTCGCCTTTTATCCCTGTTCCCATTCACAAATCCCAGTTTACGTGCTTAATGTGGATGAGTTTGGCAAACATGGACTGTGGATGTTTTTTTGTTTTTTTTAAAATTCATTCCCTCCCATAGCAAAGACGTTATCATTTTGACAGCTGCTATTCCTGTAGGCAGCTACCACCCCACCCCTTGTTTCTTTGAAAGCAGCTTTGCTGACAACAACTGGTGTTTAATCCCGTGGAAATAGAATTTTAATTATGTGGTTAATCTATTTACAGTTGGTTTTGGGCTTTGGACAGGTTCCAGCTAATTTCCATGTGGAAAGTGGATTCAGGTTTGCTGTGATTGAGACACATGAAACATGGGAAAACTCAACATTGGTCTTTTACCACTGAGCAACCCTAGATGCAATATTATGCTAGGCTCATCTGATAAACATGAGGCCAACAAGGCATCAGAAAAAAAACATCCAAATACTTGGTTGAAAGTGGTTCTTGTAATGACTTCCTCTCAAATGGTGTTTTACAAGATGAGAGACTGTATACACAATGTTCCCTTTCACAGTGCAGTAAAAGACTGATGTCGGTCTTAGGGCTGCAACTGAAGACTCTTTCTATTATTGATTAATCTACCAAGTGTTGTCTTGATTAATTGTTTAATCTATAAAAAGTTAGCAGATACTGGAAAAGACAGGTTCACAGATCTCAAGATGACATCTTTATGTCTTGTTTTTTTCCAGTTCAGACCACAAAGATGTTGAATCATAAAAAGAGGAAGAAAAACTGAAAATATTCCCATTTGAGCCATTTCTGCCCTAAATGTACCTTTTTAAACAGTTTATCAAAATTGGTGCTGATTATTTTTCTGGAGATTGAGCTATTGATTAATTGCCTAATTGTTGAAGCTCTACTTGGCTTTAATTGTAAAACTGGCTCCAACATGTCTGGGCAAAGAGCAAATATTAACCTAATTTATTTCAATATCCTGTATATCACAAAGAAATGCTGTCTATAAAATTAAATTGAGATCATGTGCTGTCATTAACTAAAGCCTTTGAATTTGTAGAGTTAATCACTTTCTAAGAGTGTGGCACCTCTGACATGAGACAGCTTTTGTGTTCTCTGTCCCCGCCCTTTGCCCTCCCTCACAGAATTAATCATGCTGTAGCAGCCATTTCTCATAGCCTGGATCACTTGCTTCCAGAGCCACCAGTTAAAGATGGACAGAAAACGGAAGTGGGCTTTATCAGCTGAATGCTACAATCTCCTTCTCTTCCTCATCTTTTTCTTCCTCTCACGTGTCCTCTGTGTGTTTGTCACTGAGGAAGAGGGTACATGAGATGGGACAGCTAGACACAGCCTCAGACTCTCTAAAGGGTGTGTGAGGTTTATAAAAGATATGGGGGAAAACAACAACAGAGAAGATTTTACTCAGGCACTGACACTGAAAGGGGACAAGACTTGATAGTTAAGTGACTGCCTTGTCTTTTCTTTGGCCCTTTTTAAATCAACTGCCCGTTCTCTCGCCTACACAGGCTATATATATTTGATCTGTGTATTATACATGTATGTGGACTGCACTGTTCCATGTTATCACACAGCATGTAGCAGAATAAGACAGTGACGCTAATGTGCACATTTCCTCTCATTTTGATCTTGAGGGAACCATCATTGCTCCTCCTCCCTCGCCTCCCCTCCCCTGGGCAAACTGTAATTTTCCCATTCGACTGAAACATTGGCTTGAGCTCCTTCACTCTCTGGAGCACAGTGGCAACTGTTACCGTCTGTTGTGATTCAGTGAGGTTTGTCATGGCCAAATGTGCTTATGTGCCAGACCAGAAATGTACAGCGAGTGTGCTCAGCTTCAGATGGAGGAGTACAAATGTTGGATCAGGCAGACAAAACATGAGAAAGAAACCTGTGCAAAATCATAGATGGGAACGTTTTAATGCTATTACATTCTCCTCAAATCTAAGTTGCACTTAAACATAGCACTTTGAGACAGCATCTTAAGTCATTTGGTGTCTGATTGCTGCAACAAATTGCTGCATTTACAGTATGGAACTTTAGCATCTAGGGCTAATGGTTCATTCAGTTTGTATTATACAATGAAATGAGAAATCAGCAACTTCATTTTCTTCGCAGATAACTTGGCAGATAATTGGTAGGCCCTAGGTAAAGGCGCTATGCTCTGGAGCACAAAACTGACTGTAGATCATCAAGTATTAAACAAAAATTCAAAGGATAGATAAAGCATTTTTCAAGTCTGTCTTAATACAACGCTCATGTTGACCATAATTCTAACCTTTGGTCATTCCTGTCCATGTTTGCTAAGTAGAAGTTCCCTCCTGACAAGAAGTGAGAGACAAATCCTCTTCCTCAAGGGAATTCAGTGCTTCAGTGATTGTAACTATGGAAGATACCCACTTGATTTGACAAACTCAGACTCACAAAGACTTAAACAAGGGCACTCAGAGAGGGTAGACCTCCGCCAAGGTCAACGTCAAACAACATACAACAGAGTTAAGAGAAAAAAAAATTTGTGTAATCCTGCTGACAAATACTTGAAGAAGGTAGTTCATTTAGCTGGATTACAAAACACATTCTTACAGTTAGTGAGGACTGCGGATTTTGAACCCCATGACTTGCATTTGAATAACAATAAAACGGGATCTCTTTATGGCCAGTATGGACAGGAAGAACAATTACAGTGAGCACAAACTGGGCGTACATATGGGCATGTGAGTATTGTTTTCAGGCAGACTTTAAGGAATGTGAAGCTTTCCTTTTTAATTCAGGAAATCAGATTCGAAATGATAGTGGCTGTGGTTTATGCCATTTTCCAAGGCAGACCGGAGAACAGGTACTAATGACACATAATGAAAAATATTGGCCTGATGTGATGCAGTTTAGTTTACCTGAAAGGTGTTTGGACTTGCCTGCTTTATTATCTTACATTCCTTTCAGGGATCTGGGCTCGCTTCCTTTACTTCCCCCATTTCTCTCCAGTATTTCCTTCTCACACCCAGTATTCACTTCATGTGCAGAGACAATTTTATAGATTTTGTAAGACTCAGTCAACACTGAGACTGTGAGAAAGACACAGGTTAGTGATAAATGTACCGCGGATATTGAAGGGCTCCTGAAGTCCATTGAGGTTCTGAGGGAAATACCACTCAGAGAAAAGCCTGGTAACGAAGCCCTGTATTTGCCATGAATCCTATCTAATCCTTAAAATCTCCTTTCTCACAACACAACCAGGCACATCTGAAATTCAAATAGTCAGCACGACATTATTAAACCATATTTTTACAGTAGCTTTCACACCAGAAAAGCATCTCCTACAGCTTTAGGTTAAGAGAAATACATTTAGAAATAATTACAAAGAGAAAACACTTTTAACGTGCATACTCACACGCACCAATACAGTCAAAAATTAAATGTGTTCATTTTGATTTAAAACTTAAGTACTGATTTATAATATAGCATGATGACATAATGCCAGATGCAAAGCAACAAGAGTTTCTTTTGAAATAACATTGTGATTTGTGTCCTGGGAAATCAGAAAAATAGAGCTTCTTTGTTACCCCCACCACCCCACCCCATCTTCCTCCTCATCTCCCTCCTCGCTTCCTTCCTCCCATCCCGCCCTCCCACTGCTCAGGTGCCTGTTCTTGTTGCAGTCTCTGGCAGTCGTAGTGGTGTGGTGCAATCTGGTTCTCCCACATTCCTCCGTGCTTCTTTTGGGTGGAAAAACTCACAAGCAATTTAAAATCTCTCTTCCTTATATTTTTCCCATCTTTTTATTTCTCATCTCCCTATATCTTTGTCAGACTTAACAGTTTTCGGATCTTTATCTGCCCTGTATACATCTGTCATTCATTCCTTTCCATTAGCAATGTTAGAAGGAGTCGTATGTGAGCACCTCTTGATATTAGGGCACACTGACACCATATTAGGAAAAGGCGTGAGGCTCAGTTACAGTGCTAGCTCTATTGTTTACATATGCAGGCTCTGAGGCTTTCAAGGGTACTCTGGTGTGTGCAGCGTCCTGAATAGAGCCAGTACTATGTGTTGGACACTGTGTGCACTGTGACTCTCAAAGGACTTGAATTCTGCCATCACTGTATTGGGATACGTTTGCAGTGCTGGTTGAGGATCATTACCTCTCGTCATCAGTGTGTGCTTAAACTTGATGATTAGTCACTTTTCCAATTGACTTTCTTTCAGCCAGAGGATCAGGGTTGAAATGTTCTTTTACCATGCACTTGCCCTGTTGAACTGTCCTGATAATATATAGAGCTGCAAAGGTTAGTCAATTAATCAATGAGTCGAAGAAGAGTAAATTCTTATGAGTTGCCATTATTATGAGTTATTATATTCTTATAGTTCAATTTAGTATAAGAATTTGCTGCTTTTCTTGGTCTTTACATTACAGTAAATTGAACATTTTGGAGCTTTGGATTATTTGTTTAACAATACAAGACATTTGAAGACATTACATTGGTCTCCAGGAAATTGTGATAGGCATTTTTGTCTGGAAAATAGGATTTGTCGGCCAGGGCATCTCTGTACCACCACAATACTTCATTTCTAATGGTATGTTGTGACACATTTTACCTGCATCAAAAAATGCAGCTCCTGTGATTTGGATATTGTACTTAACCATATTGTAATTTTGATATTTCTATTAATTGTTCAGCCTTAGACCCAACGATCCCTGCACATTTAAAACCGTGTTCATATATCAATATCTGTCTACACTGCTTTGTGATGAAATATACTGTCACCAAAAAGTTACATTAGGAGAGCTGCAAAACACTTGACTCTTGCTTTGAAGTTAAAGTTAAATCATACATACTACAAGGTGCATAGGAAAAACTCAACTTAAGTTCATAATAGTATTTCACATTAGTATAGTGCTTTGAGTATGTAGCAATAAAAACAAAAAGTTTTGACACAGATGTTAAATCTATCAGTTTTGTAATGGGCCCTGTGCTGTGAGTTTCTTGGATCACAACACTACTATCATATTATTTCCACACATTCATTTATCTGAACAGCTATAGTCGCAGTGACCCGTCCGTAGGGTTAAGTTACAGTACATTACTAGTTTTGAATTTACAGTTATAGATGACTCTGCATTACATCTTCAACCACGCATCTATCGTCTGTATATACACATCTGTATATACATATACATGTATCATCTATCTATCATCATCAGCTTAACCAAAGTTAGATATGTGGATGAAACTGCATTGTTAGTTGCAACATATCTAATGTTTTGCTGCATCTTCTTTGCCTTTTAATCCACTCCTAAAGCACTGTACTATTATGGACTTAGATTTGGTTACTAAGCAGCACTGTAGTTCAGTGGCAAGCTTTGGGCCAGTAATGGCAGAGTTGGGATGAGACCCCAAATACAAGCTTGAGAAAAGCTGTTTTGAATGCCCTTTCTTAAAAAGTCGGTGTGTGTCGAGCTGAGCCAACTTCATATTCAGTATGATATCAGCTAATTGTATGATGTTTGTAAAACTGCATGTGAAGATGTTGCAGTTTGATGTTGAAATGTAAATTACATCCAAAAATACACACTGCCAGTTTTTAAGTAGTATTGGCGGTTTTAAGACGATCATTTTACAGTAGTTTTCCCTCAGATTCAAGCAGCTCGAATGTCTGTTTGTTTGCATATATTGACTACGTGGGATGCTAAATATATCTGTTGCATAAGTGCCTCCATTACTGCTTAAAATTCACAAAGACTGCAATCCATCCCACTTTTCTCCTATTTTCTCCTTCACACATCTGGGTTTTCCCTGCTTGTCGTGAGCTGGTAGATGTATGAGGCAGTAGCAGAGTCCATTACTGACATCCAGACTAGTGGAGTAAATCCAGCAGTTTCCTGGTCACACAATTCACACAGTCCTGTCCATCTTTTTCTGCAGGCCTATAGGCCCATCTCTGTGTGACTCAGTGTTGCACCATGGGATACTTTAACCCCCCAGTGCGCCAGATTACATCCTGGCAGGAGTTGAATCAAAGCTTGCATGACTGTACGTGTGTGCCTGAAATCACTCACGCTCACGCACACACTCGCTCACGCACACTGTCGGCGGCTTACACACCCACACTCTTCCACAGTGGGATCCTCCTGTGTCTTTGAGAGTTCCCATACCTGTGTAATTATGTTCTGCTTGCACATTACACTTAAAACACCCATTAAGCCTCAGCTGTCCGTGCAGTATACAACAACCACCTACACATTCTTTTTCCAGCCACTGCCAGTTCCTTTCTCCTTGTCTGTTAATAACCCTCTCTTGTCCCGTCTATCAGACTCACACAAGTGTGTTGGAAACACTTACACGGATACATGCATGTGTTGGAAAAAGGATGTTAGACTCAACTGTGGTTGAGTGTTTGTGCGCGATAGAGCCTTGTTTCCGAAAGACTGAGGAACAGCTGCTCACGCACATAAACGCACGTACGCACACACACACACGCCTACACACATGGCGCATACACTGTCTGGAACTGAGAGTGCCTCTATTCTCAAAGGAACAAGGCTGTTTCATGAGTGTATGACTGTCTCTGTTTCAGCTGGCCTGAAATAGCCGGTCTCACATTGAGTCACTCTACAGTGCCTTGAGGGGGTAGGATTGGACTTGGTGTGTGAACACGGCACTCAAGCTTTCTGTGGCTGCATTTGACTGTCTGAGCATGTTTGTCTTTGTCTGCGCACATGATGACAGTGCACTCTTGACTTGTTGCATTCATCAGGCCATAATGGATGTATTCGACGTCAGGATGGAAAGAAGAAGAAGCAGCAGTATACAGTAATAACCTGGAAAAGACAAAACAGTTTATGTCCTTGTCAATTCGCCAGTACCAACACTCTTTTGTTTGAAGCTTTGTTTTCCTTGTAGGTGCTTATTGATTCAGAGTAGATTGAATCAACAGATAGGAATGACCTTGAATGTATGTGTGTTGACTGTTTCAAGGTGTCCTGTTCTGAGTATTTGCATGCTAAACGGTTCTAACTGAACCTGGAACAGCTCCAGAGATAGTCTGAGGTGGATTAGGAGAGCCAAAGTGAATGTGAGGCTCACAGCCCACACTGCTCAGAGGAGGTTTTGGTTTGGTTTTGGTTGGTATATGTAAAGGATTGATAAAAGCTTATTATTTAATTTTAATAAGAGTTTAAAGTAGACATGCAAATGCCCACCTGTAAATAAAAACACAAAATGCATCACTCGGTAAAAGTAAGACAATTTTTGAATTTTGCTATAAATTTTTTATTTACAAAATTTACAAAAACTATTGAATTGGGGGTGCAATTAATTTTTTTTTATCAATTATTCTGTGGATTATTTTTACAATCAATCAATGCATAGTCCATCTGTAAAATGTAAAAGGTGATGTCTCCACATGTTTTGTTTTTTCCAGTCAACAGTCCAAAATCCAAGAAGAGAAAAGATATTTAAATTAGAATGAAGGGAATAATGATAGAAGAGCAGCAAATTGTTACATTTGAGAAGTTAAAACCAGACGAAAATTTAAAAACAAAAGGAAAAAAAGATGAATCAATGTGATCATTTAATCAATCAATCAATTATTAAAATAGCTGGTGATTATTGTTCTGTCAGTCGACTAATCATTTCAGTCCTCTTTGGCAAAAGGTGGTAACAGCCCAGCAGAGGCCTTGTTTTTATGCCCTGGGACTTAAAGTACTGCATTCTTACTCATCACTGGCTCTCGACCCAGGTCTGCACATGGGGGCGGGCAAGAGCAAGCCCAAGGAGCCGGGCCAGCGCTCCATGAGCCTGGATGGCACCATCGGCACAGGCTCAGACAGCGGGCACTTCCACCACCTGGGCCCCGCCCAGCAGACCCAAACCCCAAACAGGAGCCCTGCCGTTGGAACAGGCAGGCGGGGGCATCAAGGGCAGCACCAGCACGCCCCAACAAACACTCCTGAGTTGGCTCTTTTTGGAGGGGTGGACCACACAGGCACCATCACCTCGCCTCAGAGAGGACCTCTGTCAGGTAGGAAACACTGTGAGATTGGTTAAGTGTTTCAAATAGTGACCCAGATTAATTTTCATTTCATCAACAGCTCAATTTAAAAGGTGCAATCACGGAAAATGTATCGTAGACGCACTTTTGATGAATGATAATTGTAAGTGCGCTGCTCACTGACAAATGAGCTGCACTTCCTGTGATTACCACAGAATGAAAGTCAACTTGTGTTTTGCCAGTTAAATGCTTTTAATGTGAATCTGCAGCAGTAGGAAATGTTTGGTTTTCATTGGCAGCAACTTAATACAGCATTTTTCCAGGAATGTTGCCACAGACACCCACTTCTGAATGCTTCGGATATATAAATGTTGCAATACTTTCATCGGGGCCTCAGGCTCAATCACCATTGTGTTACCTCATTCGGCGATAGGGACTTAACAGAAATTTATTTGAATGAAAATCTTCGAGATTGCCACTTTAAAGCAATAGTTCCACATTTCATACCAAGAGTTAGATGAATGGATTTTTACACCACTCTCATATCTGTATGGTAAATATGAAGCTACAGCACGCAACTAGTTCGCTTAGAGTTTAAGAAATTAGAAGCAAAGCAATCAGCAAAAGTCTGAGACCAATGGGAAAGTGGTCTCAGACTTTTGGACCAAACTATATATAAAAACTGATTAACAGAGTCAAATTCTTATGGAAAAATAATTGAAAGCTTTTTCCTACCATCAGCTGTCCCACACTTTAAACCTTGTCTTTGACTTTGAATCTCGTTGTGTCACACTGTCCAGATTTTACTTGACATTGAGCTGTAATGTGTCTAGACCAGCCAGATGGTTAGGTTAATGTTGCTCCATCCAGACAGCGGAGGGGCTGCTGGTGTATCAGGAGATGTTTTGCCGGCCGCCTCCTCCTGCCATGCATCTAATGACCTGATCGATGATTAGCTGGAGAGTTCCCAGGTTTAGATCACGGGTTCATTAACAGGAAGGTGTAGAAAGCTACACAGAAAATAGAAAACCATTGATATGATGGCTTTGTCCTTCATGGACGATCGGTCACAAGCAGTCTGAATGTCGATATTTCTCATTAGGCCCTGGCAAATTGTTTTATACAGATACAGTGGTATAAAAAAGTTTAGGCACCCCTGACAATTTCCATTATTTTCATTTATAAATCATTGGGTGTTTGGATCAGCAATTTCATTTTGATCAATCAAATAACTGATGGACACAGCAATATTTCAGTAGTGAAACGAGGTTTATTGGATTAACAGAAAATGTGCAATATGCATCAAAACAAAATTAGACAGGTGCATAAATTTGGGCACCCCAACAGAAAAATCACATCAATATTCAGTTGAGCCTCCTTTTGCAAAAATAACAGCCTCTAGACGCTTCCTATAGCCTCTAATGAGTGTCTGGATTCTGGATGAAGGTATTTTGGACCATTCCTCCTTACAAAACATCTCCGGTTCAGTTAGGTTTGATGGTTGCCGAGCATGGACAGCCCGCTTCAAATCTTCCCACAGATTTTCAGTGATATTCAGGTCTGGGGACTGGAATGGCCATTCCAGAACATTGTACTTGTTCCTCTGCATGAATGCAGATTTTGAGCAGTGTTTTGGGTCGTTGTCTTGTTGAAATATCCAGCCCCGGCGTAACTTCAACTTTGTGACTGACTCTTGAACATTATTCTCAAGAATCTGCTGATATTGAGTGGAATCCATGCGACCCTCAACTTTAACAAGATTCCCAGTACCGGCACTGGCCACACAGCCCCACAGCATGATGTAACCTCCACCAAATTTTACTGTGGGTAGCAAGTGTTTTTCTTGGAATGCTGTGTTCTTTCGCCGCCATGCATAACGCCCCTTGTTATGACCAAATATCTCAATCTTTGTTTCATCAGTGCACATCACCTTATTCCAAAATGAAGCTGGCTTGTCGAAATGTGCTTTTGCATACCTCAAGCAACTCTGTTTGTGGCGTGTGTGCAGAAAAGGCTTCTTCTGCATTACTCTCCCATACAGCTTCTCCTTGTGCAAAGTGCGCTGAATTGTTGAACGATGCACAGTGACACAGTGACATCTGCAGCACAATGATGTTGTAGGTCTTTGGAGGTGGTCTGTGGGTTGTCTTTGACCGTTCTCACCATCCTTTGCCTTTGCCTCTCCGATATTTTTCTTGGCCTGCCACTTCTGGCCTTAACAAGAACTGTGTCTGTGGTCTTCCATTTCCTCACTATGTTCCTCACAGTGGAAACTGACAGCTGAAATGTCTGAGATAGCTTTTTGTAGCCTTCCCCTAAACCATAATGTTGAACAATCTTTGTTTTCAGGTCATTTGAGAGTTGTTTTGAGGCCCCCATGTTGCCACTCTTCAGAAGAGAGTCAAAGAGAAGAACAACTTGCAATTGGCCACCTTAAATACCTTTTCTCATGATTGGATGCACCTGTCTATGAAGTTCAAGGCTTAATGATCTCACCAAACCAATTTTGTGTTCCAATTAATCAGTGCTAAGTAGTTACAGGTATTCAAATCAAAAAAAATGACAAGGGTGCCCAAATTTTTGCACAGCCTATTTTTCACATCTGATTTAATTTCATACAACTTAATATTGCTACACTAAAAATCTTTGTCTGGAAAATACCCCAGTACTCAGCTTTTTTTAGAAAATGAATGGCATGCCACTGTGATCATTTTCTGTGAAGACGGAGTAAATTATTATGCAGCCTCAGAGGGGTGCCTAAACTTTTTCATACCACTGTATGGAGCAGAGGCAAAATAGATTTATAGCTTTACAGTGGAAGGAGCAAATTATTATTATCAAGGGGCAGACTTGTATTATGGAAGTTAGATTGTGGAAGTTAATGTGAAGGGGGGCGTAAAAGGGAAGTACCATCGTCTTATATTACATTGTTCCCTAAATACATATTTCCGCTGTGCGTGTGTGTGTGTAACTGTGTTGTTTCTTTCAGGAGGTGTCACTACATTTGTGGCGCTGTATGACTATGAGTCACGGACAGCATCTGATCTGACCTTTAGGAAAGGCGACAGGCTGCAGATTGTCAACAACACGTAAGAATCCGTCATCCGTCTCTCTCTCCCCCTCTGATGCCACAACTTCACAAAAATCTAAATGAACAGATTTGTTGACGCACATGTGAACGTTAGTGTGCACATCGTGTGTGTGAATGAACACAGTGGGAGTCAGTAACTGTGGAGCGATCCAGACAGCAGAGTCCTGATACTCCCCATCTGTTGACTAAAGCAGAGCAGAACGGCACTTTGCAAACACACTCACAGGGCAACTGTCATCATCATAATCTTTGAGACACTTTGTAGAGAGCCTGCTGTAGCAAGATTCACACTTGCATTCCTTTACACAGATTAACACCTGAAAAAGAAAAAAAAAAAAAAGTGTTTTGCCTGTAGGATATCAGCACATGTTGATGTCTGTCTGTGCTGTGGGGTGATTTAGTTAGAAGGAACAGAATGTAGATTTCAGTAGTAGGAAGAGAAAATTTATATGCATTTAAAAGCTGCTGTTTTCAAGCCAAAGCAACTGGAATATAATTCTCACACAGGTGTTTGAAATCAGATTAGTGTTGTTTTTTTTTTTCTTTTCTTTTTCTACACGCTCTTTCCATAACTTCCTGCCATAAGTCTGGTCTGCTGTTCTTTATATATAATCTGGCACTACATAGCAGGGCTGGAAATATTATTAATTTATTCTTAATTAATTTATAACAATGAAACAGTACATCATCTACATTACAAAACACTACTTGGTGCATGGAAGTTATTATATAAATTTTTAATGTGGATAATGAGTTGGAAGCAGTGAAACTGTATCTGTGAGACTATAAAGTGAGTCCAGAAATCCTACGTGATATGAGCATTTGATCATTAATGGAAAGTAAATAAGAGTTACTTCTAGAACAAACTGCACTGTAATGGAAAGTAGAACTTTAAAACTTGAAAAACCCTGCGGTTCGTGCAGCCCCACTGTGTAGTCCCACAGCATATCCAGCTCCTCTGCTATCTGTCTGTGCTGTGCTGCTTGCCTTGCTGTGTCTCCTTGCTTTGTTTTGATGTGTCTGCTGTGTCTGTTATCTCTCCCCCCTCTCTTTCTTTCTCATGCTTCATGGTTTCTCCTAGGAAAAAGTACAGCTTCAGGTCAGTAATACTTAATGCAATAAAAAAAAAATCAAAGGCAACCTTTTGTTCACAGTCCCTTCGCTGCTGCACAGATTTGTGTTGTCATGCTCATAGTGTAACTGCAGTGAATTAGAACATATTAGAGAGATACACTAAGTGCACTAACTTACTTGGTAGGCAACACATTGTTTGTCTCTGGATATACAGTCTTTAACTGTCTAAAATGCAAACTGAGGGACTGCAAGTGGAATAAAAGGTTGCTTATGTCTGTCTCTTTCCTTTCCTAACATTGTGTTTCTCTTCACATCACTCTGTGCACTAAGGTGTGGTGTGACTCAATCAAATCCAACCAATCTTTGAGCTTCTCCTGTTTGTAAAGAACATAATAGGTCTTCAACTTGTGTCAGATTTCAGCTTTCTCACTAAGACATGTCAAATGAAATGTGTGTCGATACGATAATATTCACAGGAGTCTTCTTATTGGGAACAAATCCAGTGAAAAGACCTCAATGAACTGATCCTACTGATAAGTGTTGGCCTCTGTAGCCAAAGTCTGATGTCGCTTATTCCTCTGTGCCATAGACCGTAGCCGTTGTCCAAAAACTATTAAAAATAAATGAGCCACACCGTTACACCTGGTGACCTGTTCCTTGATTGGCATTTTAGCTTAATTTAAGTCAATCAAACATCTGCTCTTCTTTCAAATACCCATTAGCTAGTGAAATGTGTACAGCATTTAGTGTAGTGTAACAAACACAGCATTTAGTCTTGTTTGATTACCTTGACTAAAAAATGGAACTATACATTTGTGAACCATTTTTTAAAGAAGGAACCAATTGGCTTGGGACTGTCACAGACAGGGTAGGGAAGTCGGTAAGTATCCAAGTACTTGTTGGTTTTGTTGGTCTTTTCATGGGATTTGTTGACATAAAAAAATGTAGAATAACAACAGTGTTATCTTTTTAGAGTTCTTCATCTATCACGTCTCAACTTGCAGATCATTAATCCAAGAAATATTAATGGTTGCCTCGGTCAGTTTCTGTTTATTCTTGACTGCCTTGCTCACTGTCTCTCTCGCTTTCTGTCACAGAGAAGGGGACTGGTGGCTCGCTCGCTCCCTGACGACAGGCGAGAGTGGTTATATTCCCAGCAACTACGTGGCTCCGTCCGACTCCATCCAAGCAGAAGAGTACATTATCCTCTAATTGTTTCACTCTTGCAGTTTTTTTTTTCCCCTACAGAGATTTAAAGTCAATTTCAGCAGAATCTGAATGTAGTTTTACTCTCTTTGCATTATGATGTCGAATATATAACAAAGCTTTTTCTACAAGCTAACATAACGAGTGAAGAGACAAAGTCCTCACATATATATCATCCTATACAGTCTTCTACATTTTCACTCTAAATGTGTCACTGCTCCAGACGCTCAGTCGTAGCTTCTCGCTGATCTTATTCTCCGTGGCCCACTTTGGCAGGTGGTATTTTGGGAAGATCACTCGGCGTGACTCCGAGAGGCTGCTTTTGAACCTACAGAACAGACGAGGAACCTTCTTGGTGAGGGAGAGCGAGACCACTAAAGGTGAGAGAGCAGACGTTGGGCTGCAGTTGTTAACGACGGTCCTATTAACTTTTCTTCCTTTCTCAGTGTCTGTTCATAATTGTCTATCACGCCATGTTGGTTTTCCACATGTGGCACTTTGTCACTTAAACATCTAATGGGCTGATGAGGTAGCGACAGCAAGTTCTTCCCAAAGCTATTAAATGTCCAGAATGGTTCATTTTAAATGTAAACGTAAAGTAAACTAGTTTAACTTTAACCATAAGTAATTATTTTAAAATGTTGCACCCATTGTAGGTCAATAAGAATTACTTGTTTATCAAGATTAAGCCAAGTTTATGTTGCAACAAATAATAGCTCAGTCAACTGAAATCTGCAGCTATTTTGAAAGTTTATTATTTTTTCAGTGATTGCAGCTCTAATGAAGCTATAAAATGATCAGTGAGTGTAACAGAGCAGCAGAGCTTTTGAATTGTGCTTTGCTTGTTAGCAAATGCATGCATTATCAGAGAAAATCCTCTCTACAAAACATGTTTAATAAAAAGCTTTTTATTTTGCACTCAGAGGAAGTCATGACACTTTTTCAGTGTCCCTGGAGCTTATTCCACGCAGCAGATGTGATCTTACTTTGAAATAAGTAGTTCTTCAGGGACTTAATTTAAGAGGCAGAACCTCATAATTAAGTCATTTGTTAACTTTCACCCAGGCCTATGGCGCTGTAATCTCAGTTCTCTGGGCTTGTGGCAGAGTTTGCATCTTTCTCTGAAAGTCTGCAGTGAACCGGTCTCTGTGACGTAGGTAGACTCTTTAGGGGGTTGTTTTGGATGAAGTGTGGTGCAAAGGGAAAAGAGTGGAGTGGAGTGCATTGGGGCTTGTGAATGGAAAGGGGTGAATCACTCTGCCAGAACTAGGTCAACCTAGGAGGGTGCTGGATTTCCCCCCGGCTATAAGTCTCTGTTCTCCCAACACGCACACACACACTGAGAGAGGGGAGGAGAGGCATGAAGAGGGGGAAGAACAGTAAAGGGGGGAGACTCTTAGGAAAGGGGGAGGATCAGGGAGAGGAGGAGGAGGAGCTCTGGCCGGAGGTGTGTTGTCCTCAGAATGCGTCCTTTATTTGATGTGAGTTGTGAGGTTCACAGTGAGACAGATGAGCAGAAGCCGCTCATATGTTTTACAAAGTGTAAATCATGTTAGACTGTGCAAGACACATCTGATCATTTGTAGGGCTCAGGATAGAAGCACACAAGTCTTGACCCAATTTAGATATCTAATCACGGGAGGTGAAAATCCATTATTTTAGCTTTTGTTAGAGGTATTTGTGGCCTCCATCTTAAACATATGAGCAGAAAAATGATGTGAAATGGGTAAAAGGTTTTCATAGTTGTGTCCATACATAGTGTGACGGTATCTCTGGTCAATATACTCTCAGTTCAGTGGATAAAATGTGTGGGACGTGTGTCTTGACTGCACTGGCTTTTCTTTCTGGCGACGGAGGAATAGTGAACATCAATCAGCAAAACTCTAGATCAAAGAGTTGAGTTTTCATTTTCTTTTACTGTGGAGCTTAGGTTTGCTAAGTCTGTTGAATCACTTATTAAAATAGATTTTTACAAGTTTGATTTCTGTTGACATATGTAAGATTTTAGTTGTTATTGATATTTTCTGATTTAATATATCTATTGCTTTGTTATTGTGTCACAACCTCTTAACATTTCTTGTTTTAATGCTTGTGAAATCTAGTTTTCTGAGAAGTTGCTGAAGAAAACAAATTAATTAAACTTGTTAAATCATACCTTACTTAGCAGGGGGCCATGGACAAGGACATAAAGGCTTAGCTGAATTTCCTGGGCCTTTTTAAAGGGACCAACAGAGACTTGCCCAGCACAGCTGCTAGGAAACTCCAGAGAGCAGCTGTCACACAGGCCCAGATACGCCTGCTTTTATTGTTCTAACCTGTTGAAAGTCTTTTGTCTTTTCTTGTTCACAGGGGCATATTGCCTGTCGGTCCTGGATTTTGATAACACCAAAGGCCTGAATGTTAAACATTACAAGATCAGGAAGCTGGATAGCGGAGGTTTCTACATCACCTCCCGCACCCAGTTCACCAGCCTACAGCAGCTAGTCTTCCACTACCGCAGTGAGTCATCAATCATGTCTGTTTTCTAACAGTTGAGAGACGTCAATAGCTTTGATAGTTGACCTTTTGTGATGCTGTTGCTCTTAACCTGCTCTTCCTCTTTCATTCTTTTTCCTTCTTTCAGAGCACTCTGATGGGCTGTGCCACGCTCTGACAGATGTGTGTCCTGTGGCCAAACCTCAGACCCAGGGACTCGCCAGGGACGCCTGGGAGATCCCTCGAGAGTCACTCCGCCTCGACCTTAAACTGGGACAGGGCTGCTTTGGAGAAGTCTGGATGGGTGAGTACTACACACCACGTCTTCTCTATGGGAATTAGATGAATCCCTCAAACAGGTTATGGTTGAATGTACAAAATAGGAGGATGAATTTCTCTTTTCGTGAAGTGTATTGATGAGTTAAGTCATGGTAAAAGCTATTATAGCTAATTGATTTCTTATCAAAAATAGTTTCATATTTTGGGCAATGTGCTTATTTGCTTCCTGGCGGAAGGTTTAAGTCTACATTATGTCAGAAAGTTATATGCCAAACTTGTAATGCTGTGTTTTCTGACAGGTACATGGAACGGTACGACGCGAGTAGCCATCAAGACCCTAAAGCCTGGAACCATGTCTCCGGAGGCCTTTCTTCAGGAAGCACAGGTCATGAAGAAGCTGAGGCACGAGAAGTTAGTCCAGCTGTACGCTGTGGTGTCTGAGGAACCCATCTACATTGTGACTGAGTATATGAGCCAAGGTAATACAGGATAAAGACGGTAACTACAGCTGGGTGTCCACCTGCCAAACAAATGTGTATGTGTATGTGCCTGGTCTAAAACAGGAGAGTCATCCCCATTACTGATTACTGTACCATTACTGTAGTTAATTAAGAAATACACAAGACACACAAACCAAAATCCTAATAAGTGACAAAAGTAAGAAAACAGGCAAAGAGGAATCAACTGAACACAAACCTAAACTTACACACAACCAAACAACAGGCTCTGTAGCAGTTAACTGAACAGTCTTACTTACTTTCTGTCACAACTGGGAGGATTTACTTGGATAAAGTCCTGTCACAGTGACCGACTGGGGACACTGCCCTCTACATGACACAGGGATTTCTGCTGCCGGTCGGGGCTGGTTGTTACGGTGATTCATTGGCTCTAACAAGTACACCACCAGAGCCTTTTCTACAGTACAACTATCAAAACATTTCTAACAATACCCAGCCCCAACTTGCACTTTGTGGTTCAAGTAGTTAATTGCCGTTTAGTTAATTAGTGTTTAGTGACTATTTTTAACTGAACACATAATGTGTTACAGTAATTTTTTTCTAAATACTGCAGCTTTGGTTTTGCTTTTGCAGGTAGCTTATTGGACTTCCTTAAAGGGGAAGCAGGAAAGTTGCTTCGTCTGCCTCAGCTGGTAGACATGGCAGCTCAGGTAAAATTACACTCACATTCACTCACATTATGGTTTGTTGTGCACTGCCACATATAACCACCCAGAATTCACACACTAAAAACTGAAAACAATATCCTTCCTATAAAATCTCGCTCCCCTCCTTCCGTCCAGATTGCTGCGGGCATGGCCTACGTGGAGAGGATGAACTACGTCCACAGAGATCTGCGTGCTGCCAACATCCTGGTGGGAGATAACCTTGTGTGTAAAGTGGCTGACTTTGGTCTGGCAAGACTCATTGAAGACAATGAGTACACTGCAAGACAGGGTAAGTTCACACTACCTCTTCCCACAACAGATTATTCTTTCGTTTCTATTAATATAAAACTGAAAAGACACATGGGAGAAAATCTAAACAGACATGATATTGTAGCTACAACTCAAGAGTCACAGAAGTATGGGTTTGGTTACAGATGAAAAATGATAACTAAGAAAAGAAAAATTTTAGAAAAGACATGTTCTAAAGTGTAAGCATGTTTATTTTATTCTTCAGCATATTGCATTTACACTTTACTCAATATTTTTTTTGGGGGGGGGGGGTTTATTCCTGTGATCCTTTAGGAGCTAAGTTCCCAATCAAATGGACAGCACCGGAGGCGGCTCTGTACGGTCGCTTCACCATCAAGTCAGACGTCTGGTCCTTTGGTGTGCTGCTCACAGAGCTGGCAACTAAAGGCAGAGTCCCCTATCCAGGTAAAGCCTCCACTAACCAACAAAGACTAAGCATAATATACACAAACAATACAATATTAGTATTATATAGTATATTAGGATTTTCTGACATTTTAATAGAGCAAACAAAAATTATTAGTAGATTAACTGATTATGAAGACAGTCCATAGCCCTAAAAATGATAAAAAAAATTATAGAATGGGGTAATTTGATATTTTAGGAATGTAGATGATAAACATCAAGCATTGATTGCCACAATACCAATATTTTTGATGTTGGTATTTTTTAAATTACCTCATTCCATCCATCCGATTAACTGCATTAAAAGAACTGATTTGATTTTGAGGAAGAAGCTGTGTTTTTCCCTAACTCTAACTTCCTGTTCTTCTGTGCAGGAATGGTGAATCGTGAGGTGCTGGACCAGGTGGAGCGCGGCTACAGGATGCCCTGCCCCGCAGAGTGCCCCAGCTCCTTACACGAGCTCATGCTTTCCTGCTGGAGGAAGGACCCGGAGGAGAGGCCTACGTTTGAGTACCTGCAGGGCTTCCTAGAGGACTACTTCACCTCCACAGAACCCCAGTATCAGCCTGGGGAGAACCTATAGAACCACATACTAAACCGAAACCGAGGGTCAAGAACCTCAACACAGAACGATCTGCACTAACCGACCTCAGAGGAACGCCTGTGAGAGGATCTGAGCCTGTGAAACTCACCTGGGAGGAACTTGAGATTCTTCTGTGAAAGCATAACTGAGATAGAAACCCCCTGTGCCCCTTCCCCCTCCCCTCTGTGCCATTAAGGAACTGCTGCAGAAGAACCTGGAGAACCTCCTGCTTGAAAGCACTAACTGTTTAGTTTAGGTTCACCCCACAGGAATGAGGTTCAGAACGGGAAGAGTAGAACTCTTGCTGGACAAATTCTGATTTGACTGAGGGACTACACTTGCGGGTAAATGTCTTTGAGAGGTGCAACCGATGTGGGAGGAACCGAATCAGGATCCACTGATGGAGCAAGAGGGAAAAAGAAGCAGCCTCAAAGAGAGAAGGAAGAAGAGGGAAAGTCAAGGGAGGATATTTCAGTTGGGCATGAGCTGTTTAGCAACACCTCCTGCTTTCCCTCTTCTGTCATGTCTCTTTCCCCTCGTCTGGTACCTTTTCCGCCCACAGAAGAGCACTGCCACTGTGGCTCAGGTGCCAAAGGAAAGTCTGTCTTGCTTAAATTGTCCTTTATCTCCCTTCTTCCTCTCTCCTCGTTCTCTATTTCTGTCTAACTTTCAGTATCTCTCCAGTTTTCTCAAGTGCTGCTTCTTCAAAGTGTCTCCAAATAACTCAGCTCTGGAACTCTACTTTGCATCTTTATTTATGTTTACTTGGACAGTATACGTCCTGTGGTTTAAGGTTTTGGTCAGTTGCAGACAAAAGTTCCTGATTTCTCTTTATTATTTCTGTGATAATCAATAGGCAAGGTTGTTAGAACCACTACCACGGTAGTGCCAGATAAATGTACTCTACAGGCAGGTTCTGTAATGCTGAAAATTGGGTCATTTCAATTCAAATTTGAGGCCTTTATCTCATGTTTGTCCCGTCTTTTTCCAGCTGTATCTATCTACACTGAACGGTCTTTGTGGCCTGCTGGATCCAACCTCGATGATTAAAGCTGATTCTGATGCAGATAGTGTTTGATTGCTTGTTGTTTTGATTGAGCTTGATTTAACTGGAAAGTCGCATCGAAAATAATCAGCACTGTTGTGGTGGCAGTACAGAGCAGTTTTAATAGTTACCAGCTCATTTCCTCAGAGGCATAAACGGGGTAAGTGTCATCAAACATTTATGTGACCTACTAAGAGGCTGATCTGGCTACCAAACAAATCATATTACTGTTCAATATCCAAGTCAGCTCAAGATGGGAAAACCCTGAGAGTAAAAGCCTGCTGTGTTCTGTGCCAAACAAATCACATTTCTTTACTGCTGTCTATGTATATACTGTTTTATTATCAACAGGCTTTCTTGGGGGTTTTAGTTCTTTAACAGGCAACTGTTTACTTAAAAGATACAATTAAAGTCTCTGCACCATTTCCCCAGTAAACATCATGTTAGTGAGTGGACAGGACAGATAAACCTGCTACTGTTTGCTTAAGTATTAAAAGGGTTTTTACCCTCCTCACAGCTGTTGTGATCATAAAAATATGCAACCAGGCAGCCCTAATGAAAGTGTAAAACTTTGATCAGGTAACCCCAATAAAACTGTGTTTATGACTTACTATACGAGTTGATTTTGAAACCAGTTAGCATGCTTTTGTGCCGTTCTTCTCTTGACCATTGGCTGGGTTTGTATTTATGCTGTAATGTACATCAACATGTGTATGTTTACTCAAGGTTCAGGTTAGGTTGAGGCGAGGGGGGGGGGGGTCATAAACAAACATCGTAACATTTGTGCCATCAACCTATAATTAATTTTTTGATATCTTATCCACTGCTGCCAGTTCTCAATGTCATACTGTACATACTGTAGCTCTTTAGGGTTGGTTTTGTATCTTGTACGCCACTTTCAAATGGCAGATATTTATGTTGAGTGTCGCACATTTCACAGTGGTTTGGTTTATGACGTAGTTGATACAGCAACAGTAGATATGATTATAGCTTATTACCAACAAATACTATGAAACCAGTCATCAAAGTATGAGCCATGCAGCAATAAGTCAGAGGATAGCCCATGCCCGCCAAAACCCTGCAATTATTATCCATTGATGATGAATGATGACGGCTAATTTAATCAGTAACGTGGACTACCCTGAAACCACAATGAGAAAGGAGTTTGGGTTGTTATATCGTATGAAAATGAGGTCAAAGATGTAAATAGTATCTTAAACAAATGACTGTGACTATCATGTAATTTGTTTTTGTATAGTTTTATTTGAACTGCACCTCCATGCTGAGGTTTTTACAGTGACGCACGCCTGCTCCCCAAAATGTTTTAATAATAAGATGCTACTGTAAATTAGGCTTATGGAATGTTTTTATTTTTTAAAATATTGGACTTAATATAAAATCATATTCTGTTTGAAACCTCTATATCTGCAAAAGACAATAAAAAATTCGGCTTGGTGCATATATTTCCAAGAACATGTACACGATCAGCGCTTTCCTCTTTTGAAATGGGAATTACCCAGTTTGTTCTGACGCACTGAGCCGCCTGTCAGTCATGTGGAAGTTGATGGGCTCATGACAAGTGTGAGTAGCCAAGGTCTGATTGGATTTTTCTGTGCCATATTAAAGACGTGTCTCAGTCTTTTTGTTGTTGTTTTTTTATTTATTTTTTTTTATAAATCTATGCAGTTTCAGTCTGGCATTCCTGCAATTTTATGGCCATTTTATTCTAAAGTCAAAAACAATGATCATAAACAGAAGGTGTGAGCATTTTGTAAGGACTTCTTTTGTCTTTTTTTTTTTTTTTGTTCTGATGTAACAGGATTGAAATGGGTGTTGTGCCACTTTATGTTGATCTTATGTTGTGCAATAAATTATATTTCAAATGTGTTTTGATAAGGGTGTGTGCTGGTGTGTGTGCTGTCATTTGACCTGGAGGTGCCACACTCGCTCGGGCATGACTCGGCCATTTTTCTGAGTAAACGCTATGAGCATGCTGCACCACAAGCTGCCTGTTTAGAGAGGTGAGCATGTGATGTGAGGATCATCATGTGAGTGGAGTGAAGTATAATGAGAAAAGGTTACATTTTCTGATGTCAGATGAGGAACTGAGTTCAGTTGAAATGGAAGCCTCAGAGAAAATGTCACTTCAAGCGCTCAAAATTAAAGATAAAGTTATCAGCTGAAGCATGAGCACAGAAAGCCGTTGTATCACGTATGAACAGTGGAAGTTAGAAGAGCTGTGGAAGTTTGTTTTTTTGTTGTGTAGAAGTGAAGATCTGAAACCTGGAAGGGTTTGAAGTGTCAAAGTGTAGGCGATGAAAGGAGCTGAAATGTCATCTGTCAGTGAGTCTGATGATGTGCCGGTATTTCTGGGACATTGAAGCAAAGAAAAGGGTAAAATTTCATGAATGAAATCAGTTTCTTTCGTAGTTTGTGATGTTCAGATCACATTTTCAAAGGCGTACTTTCTGTATCAGACTAGAGTGGACAATACTTTCAGTGTTATGTTGTGACAACTTCATTTTTCCAAGCAAACTGTCATTACAAATTAACAAAATGAGATGCAATAGTTTTTGTGTTACACATTAAAAAAAAAAATCGGATGTAATGCATAACAATAGAACACAACTTATGGTATTTAAATAAGTTTTCCCCAACAATAATGTTTTATTCACAGCAACAATGAATAAAACAATATTGTGGGAGCGAAGAAACAAAGAGACAGCAGATTTGTAACTGATGTATTTGTGTTGCTGTTTTTTGGGGTTTTTTTGCATCTTCCTTCCTCTCATCTTTAATAATTTAAATTTTGATGTGATTTCCTACATTTCCTATCAATATAACAAACATCACAAAAGTGTTTTAATATGATTCTTAATTTTTGACATAGCCTCTCACCTAGGCCTAGATCAGATGTGTACCATCAGTCAAAAGCTCTCCTATGAAAAAGCAGCAATATCCGATAATCATGAGCCATTCTGGTTTAACAAAACCCGACTGACTGGTCATGATACTGCACTAACAACAAATGCAGTTTTTCGACACAGCAGCAGCTGTCTTTGGTCATTTTACCTTGTCTGCTATTTGAAAGATTTGATCAATAATATGTTTAGACAATTTTCCGATTCTTCGGCTCAGATGTTGATTTCGGTGTAAACACAAAAAGCAACTGATACCTAACAGTTGTACATGTCTCATTAACATCAGGGTTACCTTTAAACTGATCTGATCTGTTTACAGGTCAGTAGATCAGGAGCATTTAGGTTGAGTGTCTGGTTCAGGCTCCCTCTGGGTGTGACAGTCAGCCCCTGCTTCACTCAGAGCACCTGAAGTGTTTTTGTCCACATGGGGGCAGTATTTGTCAGGAGTATCAGGGACACTCAGTGGAGGAGGAGCAGCAGGGCAGGTTCAGCTGTAGACCAGCAGCAGCAGATTGTAACCCACCTGCTGTGGTGGCCTTCACTTAACAACATTAACCTTTGGTCGTCATTTATTGACGGCGTGATGGATGAGGGCCAGTGACACATTTTTCACAAAATCTCACTTATGGCACTGCACTGTAGTTTAAAATTCATTACATATGGGAAGACCTCATTGGCACAGTGTTCACATTTCCTCCCTCTTTTCCTTATGTCAAAACTCCCATGAAAGTGACTGCAGCTGTTAATTGATTACAGATGAGCCCTCCTTATACTGGCTTGAATCAGTGGCCATACTGAGCCAATCGACAGCTGACGTTTCCCCACTAATGAGTAGCTACTCTTTCCTGTGGTTTTCTGCTCTGCTGTGATTAGGAGCAAAAATATATCAGTTGATCAGTTGATAAAGTGCTTCATTTCTAACAAGACACAGTCTGATTTAGTGAGGGGAATGTTGATCTAGTGTCCGAGCCAAATGGAAACTAATTGGCGCCCAAAAAGATCAATTAATAACTTTATTCAAGCACCACCTGGGTGTTCATTTGTGTCCATGAATACATTGGTATGCACAAGCACAATGTGTGTGTGTGTGTGTGTGTGTGTGTGTGTGTGTGTTGTTTTTCCCATCTGCTGAGCCGCAGTGCGAGTCATTTATCTCAGTTATCCAGACAGTGTCAGAGCTCCATCTGTGAAAACAGTAAACACACTGACTCACACTCTCTAAGTGACTGCCATTGATACTGGACAAGAAAGCACTGCAGATACACACATGGATCGAGTGTGCCTGCACGCACGCAAGCGCGCGCGCACACACACACACACACACACACACACACACAGACACACACACACACACACACACACAGAGGGTTACAGTTACTGTTTGTTTTCATCTCATTACAGTGACAGGAGCATGGCAACCTCAGAGACAAGCTGGATAATAGTGGTGTTTTGTTTTTCTTTTCTTTTCCTTCCCACTAATGGTCCAGGTTGCCCCTCTCTTTCAAACGATCCTTGGCATACAGTCAGGGTAGGAAAAGATATCAGAGCCGTTTGCTGCTAAATGACCCGTTACAGTGAAATGATGGTTTTGTCAAAGTTTCAGTTTTTTTTTCTTGTTTCTAGTGTCTCAAGTGTCAGTCATCTGACGTTCACAGGAAAAGATTAAGTTTGCACCAGTAAACACTTTGGCAGAAAGAGACTGGCCGTCCTATCTAGTGAATTTTGATAAAATAGTGGTTGATGTTGATACCATAAAACTTTACATAAAGTGTATCAGGAATCAAAACAATTTAAATAAAATTAATTAATAAAATAAAATAAATGAATAAATAAATAAAACCACCCTTTGCGAAATGATTGACAGCAAAAGAGAATAAAGCCCTGCATTTATACCTACATCACTGTGCAAAATAAAAACAGATAAAACACGAATGAAAACGTAAAAAACAAATTGTGTCTTTGAACAGACACAAAAGGACAACAACAACAACAACTACTGACTAATGCGCGAGATATACAACAGAACAAAGAGCAGCCATTGTAGTGCAAATTTTCTGTCTGTGCTCGTCTATGTGTGTAAACGTGTGCGAGACACACGGACACAATCAAAAGAAGTCAGACTTTCCTGACAGCTCGCAACATATTTCATTTTATGGAGCATCTTCATCAGAAACTTTCAACTTCACCGCCACTCTGTCACACAGAAGACAGACAGACAGAAGGCTAATGGTTTCAAAAACCATCATGATAAATTTGTAATTATTGCAAGAGCAGCCTCCAAAAACAAGATGCAGAGCATGAGATCAGTCTACGCTGGATGGATCAGAGGATACAAACTCTGCTCCAGTATAAACAGCGGTGGAAACTAACTACGTATCATTCTTTTACTTGAGTGTTTCCATTTTCTTTTACTTCTCCACCAGATGTCAGAGGGAAATGTTGTATTTGTACTTTCATTTATTTAACAACTGGAGCTTTTACATGCACAACCTGTTCATAAAATATGATGCACTGTGCATTGATGAAACAACCCAGCAGTATATAAAGCCATTAAGGGTTATATATCACAGACAGGGGCCATTCTGCATAGTGAATACTTTTACTTTTGATACAGTAGGCACATTTTGCTGCCAATACTTTTGTGCTTTCACCATGTCATTTTGAAAGTAGGAATTTTACTTGTAATGGAGTATTTCCATAGTGCGGTATGTCTACCTTTGTTTCTTTCTCTCAGCCACTGCTATTATAACTGAGGTAAAAGATCTCTCTCTCTCTCTCTCTCTCTCCACACTTTTCTTTTCCTCGTATTATTCTCTGCTCAAAGGTAAGAGACTGCAAACTGACCCGCATGTTCTCCATCATCAACTAACTTCAAACACAGAACATCACTCGGCTGCGCGTATGAGCTATCCTTTCAGTTTCCTCTGTGCTCCACTGCTCTCCATGGGATATACAGTGTGCAGCCTGTGAATAGAAACAAGAGATTCTTTTTGATATCAGAGGATGAACAGGTGTGCCCCCCAAAACTTTAATCAGTCTTCCTTTGTTGTGAAGTGCCGTGCTGTGTTGACAGAGCTGTTTGGAGCCCAACCGGCATGACTGCCTTACAATTTGCCTGCCAAGTTACCACAGGTAATGGAGCTCTTTGTGGCATGAGGTTGTACCCTGTAGCTATTACTGGTATCAGCCGCCGTGGCAGGAGAAATTAGCCTGCGGCTCAGTTCTGACTTGCCGACGAGAGCTGCGTAAGGACAGTTTTGATACGCATGAGAACCTGTACATACATCTTCAAGAGACCTGAAAATATGCCCCGTGTTTTCCACTGTTTTGATGTCACAGCAAGAAGGGGATTTAATCTCTCTTCAATATGGACTCAAAGGAGTTATCTCACGCTTTTTCATTGCTTTTCTTTGGTTTGTTTTGGGAAGTTTAGGGCCCAGGTTGAACAAAAAGAATAGTCTTTCTGTTTGTAATAATCGGTTTGCATGGTTGCCAGGCAAACCTGTCTGCTTTTATTTCATCCTATTCTTTGCAGCATGCTTGTGGTATCACGGTATATAGATGGATTTGTACGCGCACGCACCCACACACACACACACACACACACTTAAATGAATAACACAAAAAATCTGCTCAATGCATCATCCCATCACCACTCCCTCCTGTCTTCTTTCTTTCGTCCTTTTTAATAGCCATGCTGGCGGTTTGTCCAGAGGTGGCAATGTCAAGTAGATCCACCGCTTTCAGTCCAGACTTGAAATATCTCAACAACTGTTGGATGGATTGCCATGAAATTTTGTACAGACATTCACAGTCCCCAGGGGATGATTCCTACTGACTTTGACCTGCTGGTGGTGCTGGAGGAAAAGTCAGTGGATCGCCAAAGCTTCATCCGTTCATTCAGAATGGCTGCTGCTGACTCCTATGTTAAATTGCC